TGTGTGTGTGTGTGTGTGTTACAGTCAAACCCAGAAATTAGTCATTCTCAGGAAATGCCTGAAAATTCAATCATTCCCAAGTGTAATTCCTGTTTTGATCGGGCATTTCCAGGAAGGCCAAAAAATTTTAGACATTCTTGGAGAATGGCTGAAAATGTAAGCCTCAGATTTCCAGCTTTTCCTGGTTGTTATTTTGATCAGTAGGCAAACCATTTGACTATCAAGGTAAAGAGAATACAAAGTAAAATATGGGATGTAAAAATAAGTAGCAAGACTAGATGCCCCAGTACATATTATAAAGTAGGTTTAAGTAAGCGAAAGAAGAATAAACAACTGTTCGTTGTTATTTGTTTACGTTCGCATTATTCTAAGAGTATGGATTGAAAATACCTATGAAATAACGTTTACGGTTGAAAAGCCTAGGCCTGGGGCTCATTAGACAAGCTTAATTTTCCTTCAGTAAGAAGCCGATGTAAGAATTTGCAAAAGCCAATGTCCCCCAATAAAATCAGTGCAAAGCTAAGGAAGAAAAGGTACAGAAAAGGGTATTACAACTCCCAGGACATCAATCTTCAGGCCTTCTTAGGACACTGAGCCACTGATAGTTCACAGTAGTCTCCTAAAGAACTGACCGTTTCTAATACAGAACGGGCCTATCTGCTTGGGATGAGAAGGGTAAAGGGTTCCGGTATTCCAGCTTTCTCAGGACCATTCTGTATCATAATATCGTTATGAAATGGAAGAGAAAATAGAAGCCCTGCGATGAGAAGGTATTGATGTCCAATGGGAAATAACAGTGAACCAGCAGTCCACCAGGTAGACCCCAACGCCACAGACTCTGGAGGCAGTACATGCCGTGTCGTGTGCAGACAATGAACGCCACAGACTCTGGAGGCAGTACATGCCGTGTCGTGTGCAGACAATGATGGTAACGGCAACTTACCTCCCCTTCAGAAGAAGTACAAGTTCCAACACACATCACGACCGCAACTTCCTCTCATGTACCGATAACGTTAATTATAAGGTTATGTAATTTGCCTTGAGCCATCAAGTAAATACTACGTTCTGCATGATGTCACCAAAGACGTATGAGGTCAATGCAAGAACGATACCCTTTGCCGTTGTGGTTGGCGGCATGCTTAAAATGCAAAACCCTTGTCATAATCAAAGAGGAAAACCATGTGGATATCGTTCCAATTTTGGTAGCATTTTATTTATTTTTTTTTAAAGGCATACGTTCACGCTACCTTCAGACTCTTTAGAGGATCTGCGTTGGCTGACTCTCGGGTTGCAGCTACTGTATTTGCAGTCTGAACTGAATACCAGGCTTTTCTAGAGTTCTTTTACGGGATATGCTGTTGGGTGTATTCTTTTATTGAGAGGAGCTCTTCTCTGACAGATTAATCGGCATAGGGAGCAGTAGAAATGTTTCAGTGTAAAGGACAACCTGAAAGCAGAATCCCAACAATTCCTTTTGGTGGCTGCAGTGCAGCTTGGGAGGACGTTAAAAAAATCGAACTAGCCAAGCAAGCGTATGAGCAGTCTTACATTGACTTTGAAAAGTTTTAGGTGCCATTAGAAGATGTCAGACTTTGGATCAAAATGTCAATTCATACCATGTGCCAGACGCCGAAGAGTAAGCTATGACTTCTACATAAAGGCAGGTTTGATTGCATGTGACAAACATAAATATTTTAAGTGGTTTACAGATTTATGGGTCTGTCTTCCAGAACTACTCTCAAAAGAATTTGAAACGCGATGTTTCTAAACCTCTCAACATGTTACTTCCAGAGATTATCAATGTGCTGATCCCCGCCTCTATCTGCACTCCCCGAAAGCAGCGTAAGCCTACATTTCCCATGATAGAGACTATCAATCTTTCTTTTTTATGTAGTTTTACGCGCACTTCGATACAATTAATTTATATAATTTAGAAGACAGGCTTCTACCCAGCCTGTCAGGGTCAAAAGGGCTGAAAGGAAAATAACGTCCCAGCAGAGAGACTGAGATGCATTAATTTTGTACTAGTACTTGATAAAAATTCTCCTCATCGACATGGGAACCGAACCCTGATCATCTACGTTGAACAGAGAAGCACATAACGCTTCACCACAGGTGCCGGTAGCCCAATGATAAATTATTGTCAACTACCGGTAAGCTATGGGTTCAGATAATGTACTGCTCAGATTTGGTGTTCATCGAGGGTCAGCCAACACGCTAGTAACATCAGTAACAACACTGATTTTATCCAAAATGTGATTACTGCATTACTATTTTACCCGATTTGACGACCCAAAAACTTTCAAAGTTACTAGTACTCAAGATTTGCAGCAATTGAAATTAGAGCAGTTAACACCTACTCTGAAAGAACTACACTGGCTGCCAGTAAAACAAAGAATCAAATACAAAGCTACCGTTTTATGCTTTAAAAATATAAATGATACTGCACCTATGTCTAAAAACAATGGCGGAGTTACATAATCCACCCAGAGCCCTTAGATCAGTCACTGTCAAAATGATTCTTAGGACCTCAAAACAACTATTACAAAACATACGAGTAGCGTTCCTTTTCCTTTTGCTCCCCATGTATGTCTTTTCCTTTTGCTCCCCGTGTATGTCTTTTCCTTTTGCTCCCCATGTATGTCTTTTCCTTTTGCTCCCCATGTATGTCTTTTCCTTTTGCTCCCCATGTATGTCTTTTCCTTTTGCTCCCCATGTATGTCTTTTCCTTTTGCTCCCCATGTATGTATTTTCCTTTTGCTCCCCGTGTATGTCTTTTCCTTTTGCTCCCCATGTATGGAACGAACTCCCAAATAAAATATGGAGCACCCCTAATATTAAAATTTTTAAAAAGAAAAACAACAGCTGAAGAATTACTTATTTACACACTTATGCACACTTGTCATACCAAGAACAGCTACTTTTCTGATACACAAATATTTCGTTTTTAATTTTGCCGATGGCGGCTGAAGCTTATTCATTGATTTTGGACCCCTGAGGAATCCTTAAGGTGAGCAACTTACACGCGGGACCTCCGAGAGTTTTTGTCCTTATCCGAGAAGGCCAGGTGCTAGATCTTAACTACCTTAAGATCATGGGTGGGGCTGGAAGACAGCAGTAAGAAGGAGTCAAGGAGTAACAGTAGAAAGACTGCAGAAGCAGTCAGGAGCCCAGAGGAGGCGAAAAGGAGGTGAGGGGTGGGGGCAGAAAGTGGAGACGAAAGCAAACGACAGAACATTGTTATAGAGAGCAGGAAATGAGGTGAAACGGTGAATATTTTTAGAAAGGAAAATTTTCCGTCGTTATCAGATTTCGAACCCGGGACCTATTGGTTGAGAGGCGAACAGGGTAACCTCTAGACCACGAGAGCCCCTGTCCATGAATTTAAATGTGCATATCTCACAGTGAGACTAAAGAAATAGCGAGTGGAAATTGTCGCTTTTAAGGACAAGCGGGCTTACCCAGATATCGGAGGTTTCCAGAAATATTGGCCTACACCAAAAGTGGGCATTGCCCTACCTATTTGGTTTCATTGATGTATATATTTGTTTGGTGAAAGAGAAAACTCTCCTTGTCTTCTAAAGAAACTGATCAAGGGGCTAAAACTTTACCTTCGATTTTCTCAAAATAGCATTTTTCGGGATAGCCCCCTTAATTGTGCTTAAAAGAGACCAAATGAGAGAGGGGAGAGGGAGAGAGAGAGGGGAGAAGGAGGGAAAGAGAGAAAGAGAGATGATGAAGAGGGGGAGTATGGAGGGAGGGAGAGAGAGGGGGAGAAGGGAGAGAGAGAGCGGGGAGAGCAGAGAAGGAAGGAGATAGAGAGGGGGGAAGGGGGAAGAGAGGGAGAGAGAGAGAG